ACAAGTACAGCTGAGGCAGAGTACATTGCAGCTGGGAGTTACTGTGCTCAGCTACTCTGGATGAAGCAACAACTGAAGGGCTATGGAATTCAAGCAAAGGAGATCAAACTGTTGTGTGACAACACCAGTGCCATTGCTATCACTCAGAATCCAGTTCTTCATTCCAGAACAAAGCACATTGAGATCAGACATCACTTCATCAGAGATCATGTGGAGAAGAAGCACATCTGCATGGAACATGTGCCAACAGAAGACCAGCTTGCAGATATCCTGACAAAGCCTCTCCCTGAGGCTAGGTTCAACAAACTGAGAGAGGAATTGGGAATGATGGATGAGATTCCAAGGGAAAGATGAAAAGGAAGGCCCTCTATTGCTCATTTGCTGTTGACAGATTACCTGTAGCAGAACCCCTTCTGTTAACCCCCCCTCTGTCAACCTCTTCTGGTCCCTACCCTGGCAGAACACCTCAGCAACAGAAACCCCCCCTTCTTACTGAAAGACCCTCTCTTATCTAACAGAAGGTGGTGGACTTAGAAAATCTTGTAAACCGGGTGACCTAGTAAATTGTTAAAGGTCTTTTACCCTTTTACCCTTAAAACGGTATCAAGCCGTATAAAATTTACTGTGCCCCCGTTTATTTACTGTGCCCCTTTTTACATTTATTGGTATCTTGGAACCGTAAATTATCTCAAACGTCCACTAACCCATATCCATAAAACCCCCTTTCACAAACCTAAACCGTTACTGCTCTCATAACTCTCAAGCTTTTGAACTCTTATCTCTCAGAAATTCTCTAACCGCAGTAAACTCCATGGCCTTCTTGAGCTTCTCCGATCTCTCAAAGGAACAAAAGCCAACCCTCCTGAAGAATGTTTTGACTGGCCTGAGATGCGAACTGGAAGTACTACCCAGGTTTGCAGAGAAAAAGGAGCGGATGACCGCCATTGTTGATGGTCTATCTAAATGCCAACTGAGCAAGATCATCTCCCATGGTTATGAAGCCTACAGCAACGTGGACACCGTTGAGTTCTATCTCAACGCATCCTTCAAGGATGAAGTCATCTCCTCCGTCGTCCAAGGAGAAAAGGTGTTGATTGATGCTGACGTCATCAACAACATCTTCAACATTCAGCAAAAGGAAGGAAGAGACTCTCTACTCGACTTGGAGGATACTGACATCCCTCTGACAGAATTCAAGAAGAAGTTCTGCAGAAAAGGGGAAGAAGTAGAGAAGATCAACATCAAGAAGAACTTGCTCAAGAGGGAATTTGAGCTGCTCATAAACATTTTCCACAAATGTTTATGGTACAAGTACTCCTCCACAGATGATGTCACAACTGCCAATGCCAAGGCCCTGTATGCAGTGCATCATGGAGTGAACATCAATTGGGGACAAGTCATGGTGAAGTCCCTAATTGAAGTCATCAAGAAGAAGAACCCAAAAACTAGCCTCTACTCTGGGAAGCTAGGACATGGGCTACTGATTTCAGAAGTGCTTCTCAAACAAGGAGTACACTTGAGGAAGGCTTCAACCTTGGATCACACCAAGGTAATCTTCTTAACTGCTTCTCCAAATAGGGAGAAAGCCATAAAGGCTGAAATGAAGAGACAGCTTCAACTTGAGGCTAAGAGACAACAGGGAGAAAAGGTACAGAAACCTCTCTCTGTAGCCCCTTCTGCTGAGAAGAAGAAAAAGAAGAAGAAGAAGACTGAAGGGGAAGCACCTGTTGCCCTCCCCCCTAAGGCCGGACAGAAGAGGAAGAGGACCACCAAACCAAAGAAGAAGGTTTCTAAACCTGTGGTTTCTGAATCTGAAGGAGTGGCAGACACTCAGGGGGAACCAGAGATCCCCACCTCTGCTGCATCTCCTGAACAGAACAGGGTGTCTACTTCAGCAGAACACCCCAGTCCTGTCAAAGATGGGTATCTGTCCTTGCTAGACAGACAGTTTACCCGGGTTCTCGAATGGAGAAGGTGGAGAATGGGACCCCTCTCCAAAATTATCCAATATTTTGACCATTATGAGCCAGAAGAGGAAGCCATTCTGAGCTGGGTTGGGACTGATGATGTCTCAAAGTGCTTTGCCCTCAACTTCCTTCACTCTGTTCTTGAGAAGAAGAAGGCGAGCTACAAAGGGAAGGCCATTCTCATCTCCTCACCTTCAGAAGAGGCTGTCAAACCTCTGGAAGAGGAAGAAATTGAAGCATTTGAGGAATGGCTGTTCACAAAGATGGCAACAGATTCTGTGCAACCCCATCTCAACCCAGGAGAGCCCTCTGTACCCAAGACAGAAGGGCAAGCAATGATGGAGCATATCAAGGAGTGGAGGACTTCTTTGCTCAAGGAGAACATCATTGAGGTAATATCTCCAACCCCCTCTGTTAATATCCCAACAGAACCCCTCATTCCCTCACCTCCTTCCAGCACCAGAACCCCTCCACCAGAACACCCTGAACCTTTATCTCCTGAACAGAAAACCCCCACCCCTCCTCATTCACCCAAACAGAAAATTGCATCTCCCTGCAGAGCAATTGTTCCCTTCAGAAACCATTCACCCTCACCTCCACCATCCCCCCCTCAACAGAATGTCTCACCTGTTCACTCTTCACCCCAGCACCAGATCCCCTCTCCCCAACAAATCTCCTCCTCATCCTCTGAATCTGATCATCAATCTTCTCCTCCAGAATCTTCACCTCCACAACAACCTACAGAAAACCTTAAACCTATATGGTTTCTCAGGGATTCTGACCCTACAACTGTCTCCCCCATCTCTGCACCTCAAGGGAATTCTAGGCATTCTACTGCCCCCAATCCCTCCTTCAGAAAGAAGAAAAAGGTCATCAGGAACACCATACCCATATACTCCTCTTATGAAGACTCATCTGACATGGATGGATTCATGGTCAGCAAGTCTTGTCAAGCCACATCCAAGAGACAGAAGAACCCTCCTCTGACTCAACTGGAACATGAACAGGCTGTCCAATCTCTTTCATCTGTCCAAGAGCATCATCCTTTGCCTAAGGGAAGAGGTCTGGAGATGCCTCGCCCTGATGGACAACAGAACAACGTTCCCTTCAACAAATTTGTTGAATCTGTTGAAGAATTTGGAGGACAGATCCTCCAAGGCTTGAACAAACTGATTGAGGTCAATGACAAACACTATTGGCACCTTGCCCATGTGAATGACAATCTCAACTCAGGTATGCAGTTTATCTCTGATCGTTTTGAGAACCTCACAGGAACTCTCAACAACTTCATAGCCTCATCAACTGCCAGAACTGATGCCCTGTCAACAGAAGTGGTAGGCATCCACAACACTCTTTCTATCTTTCAACAGACTCTCTTGAGTCAAGGCCATGCTATTCACAATATCTCAGAGCATCTTGAAGCTCTGAAGGAATCTGATGCCAGGACAGAGAGGCACTTGACCTCCATTGAGGCAATGTGCAAAGTGCATCAAGAACAGGCTCATGCACTTCTGTCCACTGACAGAGATCGTTATCAGAAGATGGTGCTCCTTGAAGCTAATAACAAGGACATCTTCTCTGCAATACAGAAGTAGCAGGGTCTGATTGAAGGCCTTACCTCTGTCACCCAGACACTACCAGAGGCCCTGGAGCAGATAACCTCAACCCAGGCCTCAGAATTCCAGAAGATCAGTCTAATGATTGAAGATCTGAATGATGCCAAAAAGGGGGAAGAGGACCCTCAACAGACCAGGCCTAGGTCTCACAGAACTCCTACCAGAGCACCCTCCTCTGGTGAGCCTGCAGTAGATCCGGCTCCCTATTTTGAAGCTGCCCTACAAAAGAAAAGAGCAGCAGGCATACCTAGACCCCCATCTCTAGTAAAGAAGAGCACCAAGAAGAAGAAAGTTTTCAACTTCACTGAGTGGAGATTGGGTGGCTCTCAGAACATTGACAGAGCTCAATTTGAAGAGATGAACGCTAAAATGACTCCTACCCAACAACAGCACCTCTATCTGGACAAAGATGTGTCTTTCACCTTGGCGGCAGGCATGGGATTTTTGCAGACCTGTTTTAATTGTTGATGGGTCATTTATGAAGGCATACTATAGGGGGACACTACTAACAACTTGTGGCCAAGATGCTAACGATCATATTGCACCTTTAGCGTTTGGAATATGTGATTCCGAATCCAAAGCTTCGTGGAATTGGTTTTTGAGCCAAGTGCATGACAGTATAACCTTCCGACCTGATATGTTTATTGTATCTGACAGACATGAAGGTATTCTAAGTGTTGTTAAGGATATTTTCCCTCATGCTCTTCGTGGATATTGTGTGGAGCACCTTCGGCGTAACATGGTTCCAAAGTTTAGGGGCGCATGTAAGAATTTGGGTTGGAAATTCAAGGCTGCCTACATGGCATCGACACTCAAGGAATTTGAGGAATATATGTCCTTCTTGGATTATGAGGATATTCGTATACGACCTTGGCTTGAGAAGATTGGTTTTGAAAAGTGGGCCAAGTGCATGTCCGGTCCTAGGAGATACGATGTCATGACTTTCAACTGTGCTGAATCTATGAACAATGTCAATGTCTCTGCAAGGGAGTATTCTATATCAAAACTTGTTGATTTCTTGAGGGAAAGAATGCAGCAATGGTTTTCTGAAAGGAAGGAAATTGCTGAGAAAACACGTACATTTTTTGCTCCCACACGTGAGAAGCATTTGGTGGCCCTTCAAGGACAAGCTTGCACGATGCAAGTAACTCAATGTGTGCTAAATTCGTATACATTTATTCGCAAGAAATATGCATTTGATTTTTTTTTGCAGAGTTGTTGTATTGTATACTTAGCAAAAATTCTAAAAATATGGCATTTGTTTACGACCGAAATCCCTCTTCCGTGTTTCTCAGACCTTATCCCCCAAACCATTTCTGTGAATATCCATCATTTAACTTTATTATTTTTTATCATATTTAAAAACAACATCAGGTGAAGCCAACATCTTATACAGAATTTGAGGTGGTTGATAGACATTGTCGGTCATTTGTAGTTGATCTGAATTCTAAGACATGCAGTTGTAGGGTCTTTCAATTATCTCATTTCGTTTGTGTGCATGTTGTTGCTGTTATTGGTACCAGGCCAGCCATGTCATGCTATGATTATATATCCAAATATTATACTCGAGATAACTGGTTGTCCACCTGGAGTGGCGTTATGCACCCTATGTGTGATGTGGAGTCTTGGTCAGTTCCTCCTGATGTTTTGAATGTTCGTTGCAAGCCGCCTTCGTGTCAAAAAAGACCACCCGGTCGTCCCAAAAAGTCAAGAATCCCATCAATTGGTGAACATCGCCGTACGAAGCGCCAAAAATGTTCCCGCTGTCATGCTATTGGTCACAACAAAAAAACCTGCCGCAATCCACTGCACATATCAAATGCCTGATGTATTTTTTTAGTTTTCTTCTTTATGAATTTTTAATTATGGTGTCATTGTTTTGAAATGTCCATGTTGATTACATAAATTTATGCACAATTTAGAGCCAATAGTTTCCTCAATTCATGTATTTGGATTATATGATGTTTTAATTTCCTTTATAGGACGATTACGTGTTTTGCACTATTGTTGATGGATATCATATTTTTAATTCCACCAATGTTCATGTCATTTTGCCATCTTTATTAGTACCATACAACCTACAAATTGTGCCTTTTTTTAATTAAATGTCAACAAATCAACGTTGACATGTATCATGCTTCATCCATATATGCCATAGTTTTGGCATTACACGCCAAATAAACACAATTGATGTGTGTAACAATGTATTGTTCACAATTTCTTTACTGCCAATAATAAATTATACATTGTACAATGCTGATCTCAACAAATGAATGAGCCATTCCATATTGTAGTCTAACATTCTGCCGTTTAAAAATATAAGCGTAAACAGTCCAAAATTGCCATAAAAAAGGCATTTTAAATTACATTGAATGGCAGAAAGACTACGTTTGCATACGTCTATTATAGAAACTTTTCCACTTTCATTTAATTGCAAACAACTACACATAAAATTTAAATCCAAAACATTACTCAAAGTGTCAAGGACATACTACACCATAATGCAAAACACTCAGTCAACATTGTAAGTCAAACATCAAACATTAAACGTAAATATTCAAAAAACAACATTTCATTCAAGTTTCAAATGCGAGTCCTCAATCACTGCTTCTGTTTTTTGCCTTCCTCCATCCTCTTGTTGTAATACAACACTAACTCTGTGACCATCTTTTTCCTATACATGGGCATGTCCTTTGACTTGATCTCTTTTATATCTAGCCCCATCATAAAAAATTCGGCATCTTCAATACGTACATGCCACATTTTCCCCTGCAATCATGACACACCAATACGAAATAAATCATTTTGTATTACATATTAATAATCCAATTATGCCATGTTTCTGAAAAATACTATACACGACATATTTTACCCGTCTTCTTGCTGTGGGCAATCCTCAGCAGGATCCAACTGTAACACTTCGTTACCCATACGCTCATACCCAATTTCATCATAAACACCATGCACGTCCATGATTTTTGGCAGCAACCACTGTATGCTCTCTACAAACGATCTAATGTCTCTCAAACTATCAGCCCATCTGTTTTTGGAGTTGTAAACTCGTATCTTTCTTTTTTTAACTTCCAAAACAAGTAACACCCAGTGGTTGCTATTGTTAAGAGGGAGGTATACGAACTCAGATTCGGCCCAACTTCTAGAGAATAGTGAAGCACTGCCTTGAATTTTGTCTTCAATCATTGCAATGTTCGCTGCTTCTGTAATCGTCGTCTCACCTTTTTCTATCTTCTCATTTTGACGTCTCAGCCTTTGCAGAAAGTAAGGCCCACTAGCGCTGTAGGGGTGCTGCACCATGTACTGTACTTGCTTGACATTCAAGTAGTACATCCCTGCATAAATGTGCTAAGAACAAATGCAAAATCAAAGAATTAATCACATAATATTTCTGATTTTTTTATATAAAAACAGACATTGTCATGATTTATGATCCACATTTTACTTAAGCTTTTATATTTCTAAAAGTGATCAGTCAGAAACATTACCATCTCGTCCAGTCACTCTGGATTGACAAACAACTTGTACAACCATGTTTTTGATTCTATCTTTGCCATATCCAGAATAAATGGTACGCCTCTCATGTTGTCCTCATCTTTGCGATATCTTCTGCCACCTGCTTCCTTTGTTTCCCTCTTCAATAGTCCAACTTGAAGATAAGTTTCTAACTTCCGTACTTCTTCTTCCGGTGGAGGTTCAGTTGGGTTTTCTGCAAATGGTCCATACTTTCTAGCCGGTAAAAAGTGGTCCTCCTCACTTTTTCGCGCTCTTTCTTTCTGTCTCCTCTTTGCAGCCACCACATTCTCTGTTGGTGTATATCTGTCTGGTGATCTTGCATTTTGTTTTGGTTTTGTAGCGGCGCCACATGTGATCTCAACCTGCACATCAACAAAAAAAAACAATATATTTGAACTAATATTCCACTTGTATGTATTTATATTCATAAATATATACAACACCACTTACACTCTTTTCTATGTTCACGTCTGCATCAACACTTGTACTTCCAGTTCCTTGCCCTATCTCCTGGACACGCACACTTGCAGCTTTCTGCAATTAAAAATTAACATTAAAAGATATATATGTTTAAAATAAAAGTCAAAGCGAGTTGTTACGAACCTCTCCCTTTTGACTATGATCCTATGAAGTTTTTTCGCCTAATACAAGTTTCTCCACTTCATCCACACTTGTGATTAACTCAGTCACAAATTGGGTGTTGAAATCTTCCCAATTTTCCTCCTCATTGTTCACCCCTCTGCCAACACTTTCTTCCACACCCCTAATGCCTTCTTCCTGAATTTTTTTGTTGGTTCCCCCCAGCTTTTTCCTTGTCCCCACATTTGCCCTTTTCTACTTCTTTAGTCCTCTCAAACACATTTTCTTCACTTCCATCTTCTACTTGTGCTTCCTGGAATTTTTCTTGTGTTTGTGGACCAAATATGTTATAATTTGGCATGCTACTCATCACTGCACCATCATCTCCATCACCTGTGGTTTGCTCTGCTTCATTCTCTTGACCTCCTTGAGCTTCTTCATCACCTTCTTGTGTGTTGTTTTTTTCATTTCTTTCCTCGCTAACCCCTTGACTCTCTGCCTCATCCTTCCTGTTCATGGCCTCCAACAACCGCTTGAGCATCAACTCTTGCCTCTTTTGGGTTTTCCTCACTTCTTTTAATTCTGCCATGATCTTGGCATTCTCCTTGCTAAGTTTCCTAACATTTCTCAGCGTCAAATCAGCCTTTCTGGCAGTTCCAAAATCCACCTTACCACCACTATCATCCTCCTCCTCCTCTTCATCCCCAGTTTCCGTTTTTTCTTCCAACCTTTTCTTTTTGGCTTTTTCCAAAACTGTGGCTGCACTTTTGGTCTTTACCCTCTTCTCTATTTTCTGAAATACCTTCACCCCATCAACCCTATATCCCCCAGCAATTCCAGGATTACTCCTCCTCGCAGAACTTCTCATTTCCTTGGACAGTAAAATTGGAAAATGTTCACCTTCCACATTTGTAGGCTCCATCCTTTTCCACTCAAACTGCAAAATAAAAAAAATAACGATTTATATTTTAAATGCAAAGACCATCTTTTCAGATTCCTACATAGTAATTAACAACTAAATGATATTTATTACCTGCTCATTCTTGAAAATGATTCTGCTCAAAACTTCCAGTGATGGTTTTTTACAAATTTCCACTGGACAACCCTTGGTATTCGAGTCTCTCGCCCTTCAATCACACTGCATATATCTAGTTAGAACGTAATGCTTTTCACCGTGAATATGCCTTTGGTATTGAGTCAATATAAATAGGACATGTACAAGAGTATTACGTCCGCATGGGACTCTTCTAGCCTAACAACTTGGTTATCAACGTGAGGACCTCACGGAATGTTTATCTAAATAATACAGCTGCACACTTAGGATAATATTGTACAAATATACATGATAGGAATTGTAGTGGCCGAAGGAATGTACTATGTATGCATGCATGCGGTCTATCATGCCCCCGCAGTTTGAGCGGGGGGCAGGGACACGTTCAAACTGGTGCGAAACTCGTCAAAGAGAACTCGGGGAAGTCCCTTCGTAAAAATGTCAGCGTATTGGTAACGGGAGGGTACATGGAGGACCGGAACATGACCCAAAGCAACGTGCTCCCTCACAAAATGAATATCCGTTTCAATATGCTTTGTTCGTTGGTGTTGTACCGAATTTTGTGTCATGTAGATAGCGCTAACATTGTCACAGTAAATGACGGAAGCTTGAGAGAGAGGGTGCCGGAGTTCTAGTAGGAGATTTCGGAGCCAACAAATTTCAACTACGGCATTAGCAACACCGCGATATTCAGCTTCGGCACTTGATCGAGAGATGGTAGGTTGCCGTTTAGAAGACCAGGAGATAAGATTGTCCCCTGAAAAGAGACAGTATCCAGAAGTTGACCGGCGAGTGTCTGGGCAGCCTCCCCAGTCGGCATCACTATAAGCGGTTAGCGTATTTGGGGGAGAAGCGCGTATATGAAGCCCATGAGTTATGGTACTTTTAACGTACCGGAGGATGCGTTTAAGTGCCTCAAAGTGTTGAATCCGAGGATCATGCATGTGTAGGCAAATCTGTTGAACGACATAGGAGAGGTCCGGCCGAGTAAACATGAGGTAATGTAGCGCCCCGGCCAGGGTGCGATAAAGGGTAGGGTCAGATACCGGCTGGCCGGCATGAGCACCGAGCTTGGCTTTGGTGTCAACTGGAGTGTGGGAGGGGTTGCAGGCGGGCATGCCAGCCCGGTGAAGGATGTCCGCAGCATACTTGTGCTGAGATAAAACAAGGCCACCTGGGTGATAAGACACGGACAGGCTAAGGAAGTAGTTGAGGTGCCCCAAGTCCTTAATGGAGAATTCTGCTGCTAACTGAGAAATGATGCGTTGGAGAAGTGTAGTGGAAGATGCAGTGAGGACAATGTCATCCACATATAGGAGAAGATATGCCGTATGATTGTCATGGTGGTATACAAATAAAGAATGGTCCACCCGACTGTGTTTGAATCCCAACTTGGTAGCATGAGCGGCGAAGCGGTGATACCAAGCTTGAGGGGCCTGTTTTAAGCCGTAGAGGGACTTTTTGAGCAAACAAACATGAGATGGCCGAGTGGAGTCCTTGAAACCGGGGGGTTGATGCATGTACACAGTTTCATCAAGGTAGCCGTGGAGGAAGGCGTTGTTAACGTCGAGCTGATGGAGTGGCCAAGAGTGAGCTAAGGCAATGCTAATAACTGTTCGGATAGTGGCCGGTTTGACTACGGGACTGAAAGTCTCATCACAATCGATGCCGGGACATTGAGATTTGCCATTGACCACTAACCGTGCTTTGTGGCGTTCCAAACTGCCATCCGACCTGTGTTTGTGCTTGAATAACCACATGCAACGAATTATATTAGCATTGAGCGGACGGGGAACCAACTCCCACGTCTTATTATTAATAAGGGCAATAAATTCAGAAATCATGGCCGACTTCCAGTTTGGATCACGCAGGGCGTG